TATCTCTTTCCCACCATGAAATCTTGATGGAATGTTGGAAGAGGCTGAGTTTTGTGAGGGAAACCTTGTGACACGGGACAAAGGCGACAAGTGTGACATGGGAGCCCAGAGGCTGAGAAGCACAGGTGATGGTAAGCCCTTGGGAACTGAGGACGGCTTTGGACTTTGACAGGCCAGTTTGTGGGGGTTCAAACTCATTTAATTTAGATGTGGAAGGGCACCCAGTTAACCTATGGGTTGCATATATAAAGCACCTTTCCTGTGGCAGATGCTTAGTTTATAAGAATTCCCTTCTTTTCCCCTTCTCTGTGCTCCCCTGCCCCTAGGTCTGTGATATAGCACTTAACATATGGTCTGTAACTGTTTACCTGGCTCTTTCTTCCACCAGGCTGAATTCTTTGAAGATAGGAATTTATTTTACTCATCCTAGGATTGAATTACCTTGTGTGGTCTCTGGCACAAAATGGCTACTTAAAAGTAGGGGATTGGATGAATGAATGAATGATTGAATGAATGAGTGAGATACTTCAATTCTTTTTCTTCCTTAACCACCATGATTGGGTTCCTTGCTCATAGATCTAAGCTTCAAGGTATTTACTAAGCTGAGCATGGGGCTGTGCTGGACCCTGAAGAAAACAGAGCCAACAGTTTTTTCTTGCCTTCTGGCAACAATAGACTTCCGTTTTTGCTTTCACGATTTCTAACTATCTGCCGCATGAACTGACGAAAGTTCTCAGTATGATGGGTAGGATTTGAGTCACATTTAAGTCATTTCTAATTACACAAATACACCTTTGACACATGGTCACGTGAATTCTAGTTCTAAATGATAATATGAATACATTAATCACATTCTCATTGAGACCAAATCACCAATGATGAATTAAAATGCAAACAGCTCTGATTAGCAGAATTCAAATTCCCAACAGCCTGTTTGTCCATTTAACAGGATGTACTATAAAGGAACAAGTCAAAAAACCCTGCTGTCATTCTCTGGTGCAGTCCTGACCTACGTCACATTGCTTGGGCAATTTAGTATCATAATATATTGGCAATTGAAATTCTGTGATTTGCAGCAAATAGCATGTATAATCAGCAGATGGCACTGTTTCTCTGAGTTGGTCCCAAATTAATACTGGGGTCTAGAGGGGTTTGTAGACCTGGCTGTTTTTGTCATTGAAGGAAGGATTCAACAAAGGGATATTATTTTCTTCTTACCTTGTATGATACAGGGCTTTTTGATTTAGACTAGTTTCCTGTGGCATTCTATAGCTGGCCTCTTGCTTTAAGCCATTAGAAACTTCCATCCCTGAGATCCTTTGTTGTCCACAAAATCAGTACCAATTCAGAATACAGCTGTTATGATTAAAAAAAAATTTGTGAAAGAAGAATCCTTATTGACACAGACAGAATGGTTTGTTGGAGTTTGTTACACCTACTTGAAAACCTGAAACGTTAAATATAATTTAATTTTTATGAATTTTTTTTAGATTCATTAAAAATCCTGTTAAGTCTCTTCTCGAGTAATGAAAAGCCAACAAAGCAGACTAAAACAAATAATTCCTTTATTTTTTGAGGAAATAAAATCCTCAGCAAAATCCTGCAGACATTTTCCGAGTCGTTTTAATGTTACTGGTAGGGAATAGCAGGGGGTAGGAATGTTATCCCTCATCTTTGTTGCTATCTTTATCTTGATAGAAATATTTGGCACCCATTGGTATTTATACTGCCACAGAACAATAGAAATGATATTTTAGAATTGATTTTGATTTGATTACATCGCCTATTTTGCTCAGATGGACAAGCAAATTTATAAGATACAACAGGCTGCATCCATTTTTAGATTTATTTCTCTTTGGAGAAGCACACAACACAGGTACCAAGAAACCATGTATTGCAAAAGCAGAGCAGAAGTTTCATGACTTAGGCCAGGTTTTCATATCCCAGTCACTCTGCCCCTGGGATAATCTGTGTTCTTGTGAGATAGGATCGAGGGGATGTGGACAACCTCGGTTACTGGAAGCCAACAGCTTTGGGGCCCTTTAGTCCTTGTACCTCGCTAAGGTTGGGAAATAAAGAGTAAATATGGAGGCCAACATATCCCTTGCTTTGTTGATAACAGCTTAGTTGATGAACTCAGCTTGAGGTCTATTACCCGATGGGCTTAATACAGAACTCTGTCCAGCCCATGAGGAAATGCTTTCCCTGGATAAGCTTCATGATGTGGAGGCACAGAGCACAGCTTGTGCTTTCTATAAGCAGACTCAAAGCTCCTTCCCAGAAGGAAGGAGGTGGATGTATTTTGTTTTTTTGTGTGTGTTTGCATTTTTTTTATTGAGGCAAAATTCCATTACATAACATAACATTCCAAAACATAAAATTCACCATTAAAACAGTTTATTGAGGTGGTGAAACTCACATAACATAAAATTAATCATCTTAAAGTGAGCAATTCAGTGGCATTCAGTGTATTCACAATGTTGCTTAGCCATCACCACTATCTTATTCTAGAACATTTTCATCACCACCACCACCCCACCCCACCCCCCACCCCCAGAAAAAAAGCCCTGTCACTGTAAGCATTTATTCCCAGTGCTGGGGTGGACTATTACCATCATGGTGGTCCTTTTCATCTTCTGTTCCAAATCAGTGACAAGGGAAGGAGGCTGATGGAATATTTGGGGTCCTGGAGAGGTTCTTCCTCAGGACGATGAGAGAAGGGTAGGAATGGGGAGGGATGGTATGCTCAACAAGGCTTTCTACTATGGTCCTTCATCCCACTTCCCAGTTGTCAATGAACAGAAATTCTAGTAACTTCTAGTGCAGGTTTAATTTTCCATTTGTATTAGGGTTCTCCAGAGAAACAGAACCAATAGGAAATCGATCCCTCTCTCTGTTTCTATCTATTTTAAGAAATTGACTCATGTGATTGAGGGAGGCTGGCAGGTGTCAAATCTGTAGGGTAAGCTAAGGACCTGTGACAGCAGGCAACTTTCTATGTTGCATTTTTTAAAAAACATTATTTATTTTGAGAGAGTGCACATGCACACATGTGTGCATGGGCAGGAGAGGGGCAGAGAGAGAGTCCCAAAGAGGCTCCCCTTTTTTTTTTTAAGTTTTTTAAATTATTTTTTTTGAGAGAGTGAGAGCTGGAGTGGGAGAGGGGCAGAGAGAGAAGGGGACAGAGGATCCGAAGCAGGCTCCGCTCTGACAGCATCTAGCCCAATGTGGGGCTCAAACTCACAAACTGTGAGATCATGACCTGAGCCAACATTGGATGCTAAACCAACTAAGCCACCCAGGCGTCCCTAGGCAGAATTCCTTCTTGAGGGAACCTCAGTTTTTGCTCTTAAGGCCATTAGTCCACCCATACTCTGGAAGGTAATCTCCTTTATTTAAAGTCAACTGACTATAAATATTATTTATATCTAAAAAAATACCTTCATAGCAACTTCTAGACTAGGGTTTTACTAAAACAGCTAGGCACCATAGCCTAGCCAGTTGACACAAAATTAACCATCACACTATTCATTCTTTTTTTTTTTTAATTTTTTTTAACGTTTTATTTATTTTTGAGACAGGAAGAGACAGAGTATGAACAGGGGAGGGTCAGAGAGAGGGAGACACAGAATCCGAAACAGGCTCCAGGCTCCGAGCTGTCAGCACAGAGCCTGACGCGGGGCTCGACCTCACGGACGGCGAGATCATGACCTGAGCCGAAGTCGGCCGCCCAACCGACTGAGCCACCCAGGCGCCCCCGCACTATTCATTCTTATTTATTTATTTTTAGTTAATAGCACCTGTGTAGTATTTACTGTGTGCCAGGGACTTTTCTAAGTGCTTCATAAACATTAACTCAATGTGCTTATGCTTACTAATGAGGATCCATTATGTGGGTACATGAATACAAATCTTAGCGTATGACTATTAGTTCATGACTTGTAAGGTTGTTTCTCTCCTATTTATCTACTTTCTGTTCACCCTCAATTACTTTACTCTTTCATTTGGACCTAAATGTCCAGAGTGTTCTTTTCCTGGGCTGTGCCTCCCCGTGCCCCTGCATTCCTAGACTCTCCGTTGCCATTCTGTGGCTGTGATTGTCAGAGAATAGAAAATAACAGGGGCTAAAATGACACATAGCTTTATTTCTTAAGTATAAGTCTGGGTTGGCAGTTCAGGCTAGTGTGATAATAGTCGTCAGGGACCCAGGCTTTCAACTTCTCTGCTGCTTCTCTGTTCTTACTATGCAGCTTCCACCTTCTAGTCCAGACTTGCTCTAGCAATCCTCTCTGCATTTTAGCAGACAGGAAGGAGATGGGCAGGCCTTTCTTTAAGGACTGGTCCTTGAAATTACATGCCTACTCTCACTTCCGTCCAATTGGCTGGAAGTAGTCACATGCCAAAGTGGAGCTATTCCTGACAAATGTACCAATCAAATAAGTCACTTCTCCCAATGACTCTGGTGACTGAAGGTTCAAAGGAAGGCCAAAGGTTACATTAATTCACTGGAGTGATTGGGAAGAAGCACAGCCCCCTAATCATGGGCAGTTTGCACAATCTTAATGAACATCAACAGAAGTAGATGTTCTCTAAATAACTGAGAAGAGTGGGAAATGTGGTATCTAAAAAACTGTGAAAAAGTAACTTATATAAGGACTTTGGGCTGATATGCGTATAGGCTAAGATTTTTTTTTAGTCATTGTTGAATTAATTTTCAAGTTTTGGAGAGAGTGTGATTATTTATAAGATTGCTATTTAATCTGCCCTAATGAGTGCAGCAGTAATACTAATAGCCTGTGGCTTATGTCAGTACTTGGAAATGTTAACACAGTAATGACTATTTTCTACTGTTAGCAATAACCATCACAATAGGGTGTCACATTAACCTTTATCTTCTGAATCCTCTTCATATTTTAAAATTCAATCACTGGCAGAGCAGACAATGCCAGCTTTATTATACAAAACCAGTTGCTCTCATCTTTCTCCCTTTGTTCTTTCAGATCCTCTACCATGGGAGGAAACCATTAAGGAGAAGCTTTGTGCTTTCTTGGTAAGGCCCCATTGAACATGGTCAGGAGGGAGAGGTAGCTATGTTCCCCCCAGGATTAGCTTTGGAAATCATTCTCTAATTCATGGGCCAGCAACAAAAGGTAGCACTGAAGTTGCTGTGGGTACCATGTTTTTATTCTTCCTGACATTTATGCTCCCTTCTACTCAGAGGCAAAGCTAAGACAGCTCACAGGGATACCAGGATCCATAGTCTGTGAGGAAGGGCCCATGCCTCTGGCATTCCAACTGGACTAAAGGACTTTGCTCATCCCACAGAGCAGCCCCCATTGTGCTCACTCTCATAGTCTATGAGAAGCTCATGGAGATGAGATTAGGGAAAGAGGGAAGAGTTAAGCAAGTGTAAGAAAGCGAGAAGGAGGTGATTGGTATGCCAAAGCTCCTGTTCAGATTCCAGTCTAGGGGCTAATATAAGAATAAGCTATGGGCCCCTCCAAACCTCTGACTCAATCCTGTGGTGCTAGAGGGTATCTGTGCAATGCCCTGTGGCAATGCCCAAGGTGATGGAGACATGGTAGTTAATACTGGGGCATCCTTTTTTTTTTTTATTAGAAAAAAAATTGTAAGTTTATTTATTTAGAGAGAGCAAGAATGAGAGAGACTGTGTGGCCAGCATGCATGAGTGGGGAAGGGGCAGAGAGAGAGAAGGAGAGAGAGAATCTCAAGCAGGCTCTGCTCTGTCAGCCAACCCGTGAACCCATGAGATCCTGACCTGAGCCAAAATCAACAGTTGGAAGCTCAACTGAGCCACCCAGGTGCCCTGGGGCATCCATTTTTAGTCATTTGGTAATTTAGCTCTTATCACCAAGGGAAAAACAATTACTACCTTTTCCCTCAAAACCTCATTCTTCTCAGAATAGAAGTCAAAGTCCTGACAATGGCCTATAGTCTGACATACTCTGGCCCCATTATCTTTATGACCTCATCTCCCCTTCACCAACTATACTTCATTCCCACTGTCCCTCTTGTTATTTGAATACCAGGCAAGCTTCTGTCCTGGTGTCCTGGGACCTGGCCTATAGATCCTCAGCAACTAGTTGGGAAATTGAATTGAAGGAAGGAGTGGCCAAAGGTGCCTAACATTTTCTATGGAAATAAGGGGAAATGTGAGGCAGGAAAAAGCCATTTGATGAGTTCTAAGACTTACTTTGTACTTACGGCACTGGAAAAATGGCTTTTGTGTTCAGTTACACAGATTGTCATATTGTCACTGGAGACAAAATTCACAGGTATGGTTGTACTCTTTTTTTTTTAATTTTTTTTTTTAATGTTTATTTTTGAGACAGAGAGAGACAGAGCATGAATGGGGGAGGGTCAGAGAGAGAGGGAGACACAGAATCTGAAGCAGGCTCCAGGCTCTGGGCTGTCAGCACAGAGCCTGACGTGGGGCTCGAACTCACAGACTATGAGATCATGACCTGAGCCGAAGTCAGACGCTTAACCGACTGAGCCACCCAGGCGCCCCTGGTTGTACTCTTAAAAGGCAATTAAGAAAGAACTATATGACTCAGAGCGTTGACTAGATGCCAAAGAGCATTGACGAGATGCCAAAGAACATTGATGCCCATTTCCCCCCCATACACTAGGACCCACTATTAACTATAGAGCCTTAAAAAAATACTGAACAATCAAGAAGGCCCTGTTGCCTGTATGCTGAGATGGGATTGATCAATAGCCAGAGTTTTCTACCACTTGCTAAGGATGCATGATGCTTTATAAAACTCTCTAGTTTTATATATGTAACATATATAACTAATGAAGTTAGTTTGAGAAGCAAACCTTGTAAATTCCCTCCCTAGTTCTAGAACTCACTCACCTTCAGTATTTAGTTTCCATGAAGTAGGTTAATCTCCAAAGTGTGGAAAAGCCTTTGGAGATCCTTGGTTAGAATGTACCTGCAGATATAGGAATAATTTAACATTAAAAAAAATTTTTTTTAATGTTTATTTATTTTGGCAGAGAGAGAGTGAGTGAGCACGAGCCAGGGAAGGGCAGAGAAAGAGGGAGACACAGAATCTGAAGCAAGCTCCAGGCTCTGAGCTGTCAGCACAGAGCCGAATGCAGGGCTTGAACTCATGAACCGTGAGATCATGACCTGAGCCAGAGTTGGACGCTTAACTGACTAAGCCAGGAATTCCAGGCACCCAGGAATAATTTAACATTTGATGACACGGCGAATCCAGAATGATTACCATTCAGATAGAAAGGGAAAGATGGAAATCTGATTATAGGAGAATGTTTTAAAGATACCTACATGAGACTTACTATCATTGAGACAAAAACCCTCCATTTGTTTTCTGTGTAGCCAAGTAAACCTTTTGCATTTCTGGTCTTCCTCTGGCTCCTGAAGCCACCAATCTTTAGCAGCAAGTCTAGATGCGAATTCATATTGTCCTGTCTTGTGCTGCATGGAAGCTCCTCAGTGAGCCATCCGAGGAGGCAGTCCCAGTCAGTGGGAAGCAGGGAGACTATGGCTTTTTTGGTTATTGCCTTAGCTTAGATTAGAGACCATTTCCACTAATTGTACTGGGGAACAACCCTCGTGGTTACGCTCCATGAAGGATGTATTTAATAGTGTCATCTGAAGGAAACAAATAGTGGACAGCTGTTTTATTTTTCTGAAGTTCCACAAAGGAAGGAACTTTCCAGGCTTAGAGAGAAATCACATGTAGTTGCTTCTTATGAGAACTATCACCATGGAAACATCACTTCTGTCATCCATCGGGAAGCTGTTGTTGGGTGTTAGAGGGACGTCCAGTGGGCCTAATGGCGGTATAATTCTGGGCTTATGAAGGATTTCACTTTTTAAAAATGATTCTTGCAGTATGTTTGTGCCTATCTCAAGGGAACCAGAGTCTGAATATTAACTGGACAAATACAAGGTCAGCATCATTGCAGTGTGACTGTCAGAGCTCTGGTGTGGGAATCAGCAGTCTGGAGATTCTAGTCAGATGGTCCCATCGATTTGGCTTCCAATTGTATGGAAGTCACTTAATTTTTGCACTTTCTGTAATAATAATAATGAATCATTTATTGATTGCTTACTATGTGCCAGACATTTTACTAAATGCTTCGTATGCATTTCCCCTTCATTTGTTCCCCTTGACAATCCTAAAATGAATATATAATCCCCATTTTATGGCAAGAGGGGAGAGACATAGGCCTAGAAAACTTAAATACTTTCCAAGAGCAAATGCTGTTTAGTGGTAGAAGCTGGATCTAATCCCAGGTCCATGTGGCTTTAGAACTCACTTGTATGCACCAGCCTTAAACTTGCAAACTAAATGGAAATTTAAGGACTATCTTGTAGTAGTCATCAAATGTGATGGACTGTGGGCCTCTGCCTTTCATACCAGGATTACTTATTCTCAGATTAAGATACATTGGCCAGAAAAATGATCTCAAAAAAGCAAGAATTTGGGAGTTCATGAAGAAAAATGCAAGTAGGAATTGGAGACAAGGGAAAAGATCAAGCTTATTTCTAAAAGAAAAAAAAGAAAGGTGTATCATAGATTTTTGAAAAGTAATTGTTACTGAGGATATCCATGAAGAGATTTGTTATTTTATCTAATTATTTGTCCTTATTAAAGCATTTGGTGGTCAAGGAATACCTATAGATGAGTTGGAAAGAAAACAAAACAAAGGAAAAAATGTCATTCTGTGAGCATGTCCTGCTGGTGGCAGCAACAGTTCACAGCACTTGTCCCTCATTGCATTATGGAATTACAGGCACGTCTTAAAGCACAGAGCTTCCTGTTTTTATATGATTTCAAATCACAGGCTGCTGTTATGATAGCTATAAAAATTGGCAAATCATTCTAGCTATCCATATGACTGACAGGATTATTTTCCAGAACATTTTATATTACCAGAGTTTTAGATTCATGTTTCCCCCCCATGGGTTGTTAGAAGGAGGTGGATAGAAGGGGTCGAAAAGCGTGGGTATTAAATGATTAATTAAAGGAGAAGTGAGCAAGCCTTTAAAAAACTGATAGAATAGACCATTGAAATCGGTAACACCACCTTAGTTTAACTTCTGATTTTGTTGTAAGGTGAAGATGGGTTTCATAAACTGACTTTTGCACAGGATGAAAGATTTGCTGTTTTATTGAGAATGTTTTGAGAGATCTCCAATAATGGTTTTTCAGTTTTCTTCCGTAAACATCATTAAGGAATTCTTTGACTTTCAGATGGCTTTGAAAACATGGAAACATTAATGTTTATTCCATAAGTACAAGATGATAAATGAATGTTTTGGTTTTTCTATTTATGCCTGAGGAAGGGCTCCTAAAGAGAAACTGAAAATTTTGCAGCTTCTGAGCTTTGATGAAGGCCAGCCTCAGGTCAGCAGCAGGAGCCGTCTCTCTTCGGTGTCCTCAGACACCCAAGTGTGGAAGGTTCTCATGGTCAGAAAGTGATGCTTTGACCCGGGCGTTACTTGGTCTCTGTGTGACTTAGGCCCGGAGGCTTCCCTACCTCTGAGCCTGGTTTCTGATTCTACAGTGCTGCCGAGGAAGAAGACATGGAAGGGCCACCTTTTCTGAGGCAGCAGATCTCATCTAGGCCCCTCTAGTGGAAGGAACAAACACACTGAGGCTTAGAGATGTGTGTGCCTTGTAGGTGAAAGGGATCTGCATGAATTGGATCTGGATGGAGCCATCTGACAGAAAAAATGTTCCTGGAAGGAACTCGACCTGGAAGGACGAGTAGAGCCTTCAATCATTCCTACACCCTGAGATGTTGATGGCACCAGGCAGGTGCTCAATGCATGTGAATGAAATGAAGAAATGAATGAATAAGGCAAATAATATAATGCAAGAGAACTTTTTCCATTTCTTCAGTAAGGTGCTCTATGTCTCATTCACTTATTCATTCATGTGCCATACATTGTTTGAAAACTTGTGATAGTCTAGGTTTTTTGTTAAACACTTAGATTCAGGGATGCTTATTTTCATTTCTGCAGGTTTTATCATATGTCATTTTGGTGTGAGGAATGAGTCTGGGATCTAAGTTTTAGAAAATAGTTGGCCAGTTGTAATGACAACACTTAAATAATCCGTTCTTTCTCCATTGATATGATATGTCACCCATATCCTATAGGTTTATTTCTGGACTTTTATGATGTCTTTTAAATTAACATGTGTTTACAAAATTTATTAGTATTTCATAGACCAAATTTATCTTTAGTATTCTTTTTTTTTTAATTTTTTAAATGTTTTATTTATTTTTGAGAGAGAGAGAGACAGAGACAGAGTACGAGCAGGGGAGGAGCAGAGAGAGAGGGAGACACAGAATCCAAAACAGGCTCCAGGCTCTGAGCTGTCAGCACAGAGCCTCACGCGGGGCTTGAACTCACAAACTGTAAGATCATGACCTGAGCCGAAGCCGGATGCTGAACTGACTGAGCCATCCAAGTGCCCCTAGTATTCTTCTTTTTCAATACTTCATTGGTTGTTCTATGCCGATTATTTTTCTGGATAGGCTAAAATTATTTTGTCAATTGATTTTGGGGGGAAGATATGTTTACAGTATTCATTTGGGAATGTAAGATGTCTCTCTAGATATTTGTGTCTTCTTTTATATTCCTAGGAAATGTTGTGTTGTTTTCATTATGTGGAAGAAAACACAAAACATTGTTGGCTCCCTTAGCAGTTCATATCTCTGCTCAGTCTTCACCCCCTTAGGCCTTCCTAACCTTGCCATTAAGTAGCATTGCCCCCACCCCCATAACTTTTTATTTTGCTTTATTTTTATTTATAGCACTTTTTTTTTTTAATTTTTTTTTTAACGTTTATTTATTTTTGAGACAGAGAGAGACAGAGCATGAATGGGGGAGGGTTAGAGAGAGAGGGAAACACAGAATCTGAAACAGGCCCCGGGCTCTGAGCTGTCAGTAGAGAGCCCGACGCGGGGCTCGAACTCACAGACTGTGAGATCATGACCCGAGCTGAAGTCGGACGCTCAACCGACTGAGCCACCCAGGCGCCCCTATTTATAGCACTTTCTAGCTGACATAAATATTTGTTTTACGTTGTATATGGTCTTTCTCCCCTGGTAGGTTGTAAGCTTTGTGTGGGAGGAGATTGGATGTCCTACTCACTGCTGTGTCTTCAGCTCCCAAAAGTGACTGACACATTCTACTGTGAATATTTGTTGGCTAAATTGTACTTACCACCCATTCTTTTCAAATCTTAGCATTTTGCCATATTTGTTACAGATTCGTTTTTGAAAAAATAAAAGGCTAGTTGAAGGCTGCTTTATATTTATCTCCAATCCTATTCTTCCTCTTCTCTCTTTGAGTCACAA